GACGGACGTGTCGGATGACAAAATGCCGGAAGGACTCCCTTGAAATTTTATTAGCCGGACATAATGAAGAATTAAACAATTTTACAATTGTAAGATTAAAGAAAAATATTACAATTAAAGAAAAAAAATAATAATAATTATAAAAGAAAGAAAAAGTTCAAAGTCCTTACGAGGATTTGAACACAGAAAAATTACACATAGAGTAGCTCCTCTATGCATTACGCTACCATCCTGTCTCGATCTGCGACGATCAAAAATACTATTTGTTCTACCAACTACCACATCGGCGCATCGAAAACAGAAACGAGAAATTGAAATTGAAATTTGGAAGCCAAAACATTTTTACTCCGTCGTGCGAGCAGTCACACATACACACATAGGTTCACATTTTTGTTGACGGGTACATGTAAAGAGTTCTAAAAATAGAATCGTATGCATGTGCGTTCCCCCCTCACCAACAAGCTCGACCCAAAAAGTTGACCGTTTTGGGCCCTGATGTCCCTACATAAACTTCCGTAACCAACACGTAAATGAAAATTCATTGTTCATATATTTAATTCGCTATTAGCTTATTTTGATTTGCTTATATTGTGTTATAAACTTTGGACTTTATCTAATTTTATTTTTTCTACTAATTTTTTGTAGATCTTACAGACAAAAAAAACCTATTGTTTCTATTTCTTTGAATTATACTTTCTGTTTTGTCCAAAAAAATTTAGCTTGGCATTAAAAAAGTTTCTTTCAAAAATCGCATTTGAAAGCCATTACTTCGTCTTTTGTTGTTTCAATGTGTTGCGACTGAGTCGGACGGTAGAGCGCTCACTCACTCTAACCGAAACGGCTACGCAGTCAATTCATGTAATTCATTTTGTGTAGAGGTAATAAAAAATTCTGTTACCCAGAATAAGCTGACCAATAAACAGCTTAATTATCTGGAGTCGATATTTATCAATTATACAGACCTATCAGTGGAACAGTCTACAGCAGTTGTGCTCATCCCATTGCTCTCTTGCAGTCAAAACCGGATATATATCGCAAACATCGAATATAGTTGGCTGATCCTTATGAGAATATGATAATAAACCCAATTTATTAAAATAAAAAAATTTAAAAACAAGAAAGCAAAGCTAACTTCGGGCGGAGCCGAAGTTGATATACCCTTGCAGCTAAAACCGGATATATATCGCAAACATCGGATATAGTTGGCCGATCCTTATAATTACATCATAATAAAACCAATTAATTACAATAAAATATCTAAAAAAAAGTCCCAAGCTTCTATCTTCAAAAATACGAAAGTTGATATTTCTACCAAATACCATTTCCGATCGTTCAGTTATATGTCAGCTATAAGATATAGTCGGCCGATCCTAGTGAAATTTTGTAGGTCGGATTAACTGACCAAAAATATAATCTGTACCAAGTTCCAGCTTTCTGTCTTCAAAAACACGAAAGTTGGGTCATTTCCGATCGTTCAGTTATATAGCAGCTATAAGATTTAGTCGGCCGATCCATATGAAATTTGGCATGTCGTAATGGTTTGTCAAAAATAGCTCTCATGTCAATTTATACTATTTCCGATCAATCAGTTATATGGCAGCTATAGGATATAGTGGGCCGATCCCGGCCGTTCCGACTTATATACTGCGTGCAAAGGAAAGAAGGGTGTGTGCAAAGTTTCAAGTCGATAGCTTTAAAACTGAGAGACTAGTTTGCGTAGAAACAGACAGACGGACAGACGGACATGCTCATATCAACTCAGGAAGTGATCCTGATCAAGAATATATATACTTTATAGGGTCGGAGATGTCTCCTTCACTGCGTTGCACACTTTTGGACAAAATTATAATACCCTCTGCAAGGGTATAAAAAAGTCACAAACTTCTATCTTCAAAAATACCAAAGTTGGAATTTCTACCAAAAACCATTTCCGATCGTTCAGTTATATGGCAGCTATAAGACATAGTCTTTTCGTTATGAAATTTGGTAGGTTTTATTATCTGATCAAAGGTAGTATTTGTAAGTTAAAGATTTATATCTTCAAAAACACGAAAGTTGGGTTATTTCCGATCGTTCAGTTATATAGCAGCTATAGGATATAGTCGGCCGATCCTTATGAAATTTAGCATGCCATTTTATTTTGCCAAAAAGAGCTCTCACGTAATCTCAGTAATTTGAACTCTCTAACTCTAAAAACACAACAGTTCTACCATTTCGGATCAATCAGTCATATGGAAGCTATCAGGGACCGTAAATAATGATTATTGTCGCTGTCGGGTCAAGCAGCAGCACGGCGTTTAATGTTTATGTTTAAATAATGTTTATGTAATGTTTAGTGTATTTATTAGTGTAATGTTTATTTATTAGGCTTAAGTTTGTACAAAGGCTTTGTTGATCGCAAGCCGACTCTTTCTCGGCCGCTCGACTCAACAAGCTTTCTATAGAGAGTTTTAGCTCGCAGTGTCTAGGTCGGGCCGCCCTCTCCATTATTCGAGAGCTTTAGCTTCGCAGTGACCAGTCGGGCCGCCCTCTCTAAACTTTACTTGAGTCCCTGCATGCACCATAGCCGGTCTATCTGCGGATCATCCGGCATGATCTGCATGCAGGAATAAACATTTTTTATAACGTTCAAAAGTAACAAATTCGTCTTTTTATTTACGGCATTGAAAACGCTCAATGACCAAACAGTCGCTATTTTTAAATGAATAAATCAATCACTTCCAATCAACATAGAACAAGCTTGACTAGCACGTTTTTATCCTTTAAGGATGAAATTGTTATAATTGTTTAATTAATTTAATTGTTTTACTCTTCTATGGTTAAACATTATTTTTGATCGAAAAAAATAAAAATCACAAATAATCATTAAGCTTGAACAAAAAAAATAAAACTCAAAAATAATGAATATTCGTAATTTTTATTTTTTTTGATTAAAAATAAAACTCACCAAGCAATAACTTTTGATCCTTTAAGGATATGGCCAATATTGTCCTATGTCCTTGTAAAGGGTCCCTAGAGCAATAATTGACAACAACAACAACAAAAATGCATTTTACCAGCAGCAGCAGATATACACAATTACCAACACCATGATAATAATGATAATCATCATAATGATCAATGTGATAAAACTTACCTTAGGCCGAAAGCGTACGAGAAGAGAAAACAAAAGAAGACAGCGGAAGCGCACGCGCTTAGATCTATTTTTAGTAGCGCTATCAGGGTCTATGCATATGAGACAGGAGTTTCCCAATTCTGAGCATTTTTGCGGGCGTTTTTGGAGCAGAAATTCTTTCAATTCTTCCAGTTGTTGCTGGTAGCGTTTGCCATCAACGGTTACACTCGGATTTAGGAGCTCATACCAAACGATTCCGGCCTGATCCCGGAAAACGCTCAGCATGGCTTTGCGGCCGAAACGGTTTGGCCGAGATTGGGATTGGGCCGGCTGGGCTGGGATAATATAGGATTTTTTTCATTTTGGGTTTTGAAAATAGATCCACATTGTATTTCCAGTGACAATGCAATGCAAAAACGAGAATTTCCAAGAGAATTTCGCAAGTCAACATATTTATACCCTTGCAGAGGGTATTATAATTTTGTCCAAAAGTGTGCAACGCAGTGAAGGAGACATCTCCGACCCTATAAAGTATATATATTCTTGATCAGGATCACCTCCTGAGTTGATATGAGCATGTCCGTTTGTCCGTCTGTCTGTTTCTACGCAAACTAGTCTCTCAGTTTTAAAGCTATCGACTTGAAACTTTGACCCAACTTTCGTGTTTTTGAAGATAGAAAGCTGGAACTTGGTACAGATTATATTTTTGGTCAGTTGATCCGACCTACCAAATTTCATAACGTTCGGCCGACTATATCCTATAGCTGCCATATAACTGAACGATCGGAAATGGTTTTTGGTAGAAATACTAACTTTGGTATGTTTGAAGATAGAAGTTTGGAAATTTTTTTAGATTTTGTATTGTAATAAATTGTTTTATACATTTATATTCCCATAAGGATCGGCCAAATATATCCGATGTTTGCGATATATATCCGGTTTTAACTGCAAGGGTATATAAACTTCGGCTCCGCCCGAAGTTAGCTTTCCATTCTTGTTTTTAGATTTTTTATTTTAGTTAATTGGTTTTATTATGATGTAATCATAAGGATCGGCCACCTATATCCCATGTTTGCGATATATATCCGGTTTTAACTTCAAGGGTATATCAACTTCGGCTCCGCCCGAAGTTAGCTTTCCTTTCTTGTTTTTTTATACATATCGACACATTTCCTCGAAAGTATCGTAAGTCGCTTTTTTTCGAAATTGAGATTTTAATGCAAAATTGTTAAGCACCTGATGTCTCACTACCCTGTGAAATATAACTGAAAACCCTATAGTTTCGAGAAAAATTTAGTTTCAATTTTATCGTATGTTACAGTGCTTTTCAATGTGCGAGCGAAATTACCGTATGTCCACACTGATGGTGGCTGCAGAGCTTCAAAAGATCATTGTTCTCGTGGTTTTGTTGATAATCAATACGGCCGAGTCTAAAACTGCAGAGTTTCATGCAACTAGGTCGCAAAGTGGCATTTTTGGGAAAGAACTGGGATGCGGGTTAAGCAGGATCAAGCGGCGGTGCTAATACTTAAAGCTTTGCCTTTAACAAAATATTTTAAGCAACAAGTTGTTGTCAAACAAAACAAAGACCCATTTTGATACATATTTACTTGATTTAGTTGACTTACTGAGTCTCAGTCGCTGACCAATGACAGGTTTTACTCACTTAATCCGGCAGTTAGAGGCGTACCTGTGTGTTATGCTCAACCCGAGAGCGAGACCCAGAACCCAAAAATGTAAAAAAAAAATAAATAAATACAAAAAAAATTTTGGATTTTTTGTTTCATCTTTCCCAACAAAACCACCCGGTTAACCCTTTTTTAAAGCTCTGGTTAAAATACAACTCTATAATAGTTAGATTAACCTTTTACAATTTTTAACTAACCTTGTAAACGTTACGTCCATCGGGGCTAAATAGAGCAAATGTTACTCGCCTAGACATTGACATAAAACCCTGTTCGATGTCCCGTAGTTTCAAACCATCCAAGGGCAGCATAAATTTTTTTTCTTTTTCATCTTCGTCCTTGTACCACGATATACTTTCCGATGTTAAAACAAACCAATATGGACGAGATCCACCTGCAAAAATTATTTAAATTAAAACAATTGGTAATGAAAAAATATAAAAAAAATTTTAAGGTGTGTACATATATTTTATTCGTTATTTTTCAAAAAATACTTAACGGATCTAAAATAAATGCTTTACCACCGCTGATAAGGACAAAAATTTAAAATTGTAGTGTGTAAAAAAAAATTACAAAAGCATGTGTTACTTTTAATGTGTAGACTTAAAACGATGGCTTAAACTACAGTAAGGTCTGCGAAATAATTCACCTTATCACCGAATAAAGTTGTTAATAAAACCAAATTCTTTATAATTTTAAATTAATTTTAATATTAATTTAAAGTTACAAAATAGCCTAATCAGATCCAGCTGTTTTCAACTTAAAAAAAAATATTAGAACATTTTCTTAAAAATAATGTAATTTATTTTAGAACGAAATAAATGAACTGATCGAATTAGAATTATGTTAATAGAAGTAGGTTTTTTTTGTTTTATTATCTTTATAAGCTAAATATGTCCTCCATTATTTTTAATAACCTTTAATATGCGGTCTGGCATTGAGTTCACCAAATTTTGAAGAAGTAATCCATCAATTTTGTTACATTCAGCTACAATAGCTTCCTTTAAATCCTTTAAAGAGCCAAATTGCCGCCCATGCGCATAAAACTTGCTGGACAGGATTCCCCAAAGGTTTTCGATCGGGTTTAGATCAGGACTTCTAGCAGGCCAGCCTAAAACTGGTATATTTCTTTCTTCAAAAAACTTTTTTGTGTATTTGGAAACATGGATGGCAGCATTATCCTGCTGAAATGTCCAAGAATCCCCGTAAAATTTTTCACCAAAATTAATAAGAGCATCGTCAAGGAGCTCCACATATTTTTCGGAGTTCATTTTGTGGGATACGAAGCAGATCGGACTCTTTCCTGCAAATCCAAAAGCTCCCCATACCATAAGAGAACCACCTTGAAAATTGCGCGACACATTAACTTGCTTGGGGGTCCTGATATCGCGATAATAATATTGATAGCCATCTGGACCATCCAAATTAAATTTTTTTTCGTCGCTAAAAATAAAATTTTGCCATTCCTGGTCCCAAAATTTATGCGTCTCTGCAAATTGCATGCGGGCAGTTTCGTGTCGTGGGAGAAGTTGGCATTTGACACTTTTTTTTTATACCCTTGCAGAGGGTGTTATAATTTTGTCCAAAAGTGTGCAACGCAGTGAAGGAGACATCTCCGACCCTATAAACTATACATATTCTTAATCAGGATCACCTCCTGAGTTGATATGAGCATGTCCGTCTGTCCGTCTGTCTGTTTCTACGCAAACTAGTCTCTCAGTTTTAAACCTATCGACTTGAAACTTTGCACACACCCCTCTTTCCTCTTTCCACCCCTCTTGCACGCAGTATATAAGTCGGAACGGCCCGGATCGGCCGACTATATCCTATAGCTGCCATATAACTGATTGATCGGAAATGGTATAACTTTGGTGTTTTTAGAGTTAGAGAGTTCAAATTTGACATGAGTGCTATTTTTGGCAAAACATTACGACATGCCAAATTTCATAAGGATCGGCCGATTATATCCTATAGCTGCCATATAACTGAACGATCGGAAATGACCCAACTTTCGTGTTTTTGAAGATAGAAAGCTGGAATTTGGCACAGATTCTATTTTTGGTCAGTTGATCCAACCTACTAAATTTCATAAGGATCGGCCGACTATATCCTATAGCTGCCATATAACTGAACGATCGAAAATGACCCAACTTTCGTGTTTTTGAAGATAGAAAGCTGGAACTTGGTACAGATTCTATTCTATATACAGATTTTTGGTCAGTTCATCCAACCTACCAAATTTCATAAGGATCGGCCAACTATATCCGATGTTTGCGATATATATCCGGTTTTAACTGCAAGGGTATATCAACTTCGGCTCCGCCCGAAGTTAGTTTTGCTTTCTTGTTTCATATGAAATTAACGGATCTGCTCTTAAAATCTGTTGGAGTCGACGCCTTAAAACAGGAAGGGTTAGTTCTTGGCAAATTTCAGCTGCGCTCAAGTTTTCTTTAACCGCCAAACATTTTATTTGCCGTTTAGTGCGATCTTGTACAAGGGGTGGGCGCCCTGAACGTGGCTTTTTACCATGATTAACAGGATCTTTTAGAAACATTTGAATTGTGAAAAAGCTTCTTTCCATTTTCGATGCGATTTTACGCAAAGACATCCCAGTTTCACGATATGCCAATATTCATCCGAAAGGTATCTTTGTTTAGGTATTGTTACTAAAATACGCAAAAACTTAGATTACAGAAACTAATTTGTCATCAGATCTAACTTGTTGTATTTATTTTTCAACTAGCAGTACCCTGCCACGTTTCGCTGTGGCATATTGTTGTTGCACGCATAAAAAATAAGTCAAACAAAAAAGAATAATTTTCAAATTAATTAAATTCTGTAATACTTGTGGGTATACAATATTCTTTGTTTCTCCTCCTTAATCATTCATTATTATTTCTGTATTTTAGTACATAGGTTGCTCTTCACTTAAGCACCTTGTGATACACGACATTTTTTGTTTTATTATCAGGCGCAAAAACAAACAACGCAGATGGTCTTCCGACCCGTGAACATGCCACGTATAATTGACCATGGGAAAAACATGAATGTTCTAGATTTAAACCACAAACTTTTAAGGATTGGCCTTGTGATTTGTTGATTGTCATGGCAAATGCAAGACGTATCGGAAATTGAAGTCTTTTAAATTCAAACGGCATATCGGTTGGGATCATCGGGATCCTCGGAATGAGAACTTCCTCACCTTTGAATTTTCCTATCATTATCGTAGCGTAAATTACATTGTTCATCAATTTACTAACCACCAAACGCGTACCGTTGCACAGTTTTGGTTGGTTTATGTTTCGAAGCATGATTACTACGGAGCCAACCTTTAGGCGTAAATTGTGCGGTGGTAAGCCAGGCACGTCCAAAGAGTTTAAAAATTCAATTGGATAGTTGGTGGCTTCATCTTCATTTGTGACGCAGTCAATAGATTTGAATGAATGCATTGTTCCAATGATCTTATTTTGAATTATGTAGTTCAGGTCATCTACATCTTTATTCTTAGCCGCTAAAATTGCTCGCTCACTCAACCATTCATTATTTTTGTAGTTAGAAATAATATTTGGAAATACATTGTTGATAAGTTCGTCTTTTGATGAGACAAAATTACAGAAATTATTTGGAAATGATATTAAACCGCTCGATTCATCGACAGGTACTTGACCATTACCGATAGTCAGCAATTGCTCCGAGAAATCTTCAGCAGATGTATCATTAAGCAATGTAACTCTCATGTTTGTTGTCAGCTGCAGTTTCTTCACATAGCGCCATAGATTTGACGATTTGAGGCAAGCGTTTATTTCGTCTGCAGCCGTAGATCTTGGAATTACTGGCAGTATTTGGCGGAAATCGCCAGACAGTAAAATCATTGCTCCTCCAAAACATCTCGAGTCATTGCGTATGCCGTGGTCGCATATTGCTCCAGAATTGCTTAATACTGGATGTACTTAACCAAAATAAATGAAGAAAAAACAGCTAGCCCTTATAGAAAACAAAAAAAGGCCAAAACAACGTTTGCCGTGGTCGCATTTTAAATGTTCAATGACAACTCTTAAACAACCTGACCAACGCATGATGTTCATGAAGCAGACACTGCAAGTCTTGAAGAATTGCTCGCTTCATTCCTGCATTGATCCCTAGGCGTCGATCAAGTTGTTCTTCCATGTTGCCCATGAAATTGTATATTTGTAAAAATTTATTCTGTGTACCTTCGAAAGGTAGTAATGATCCAATTCGATGGTGAATCTGTCCTTGTATCTACAAAAAAAAAACCAGATTCTTTAACTACATTCTATGTAAGTACAAAAATAAATACCTTAATGTCGGATTAAAACCTTCTTCTTCGATAATGTCTGCCCCAAATGACGTCATTTGGAAACAACTATTTTATTTTCGAGTATTTGCAAGAAAGTGGCGTGATTCTTGTGTTTCGCCGCAAAGCAATGAATACAATGGCTCATGTGGCGGAGTCAACACTGGCAATTTCACTTTACCATTAACGCAGCATAATCCAGGCGTTTCTCCGGAAAACTTTAATGCACCACAATACTCGCAAACAACGTCCATTTGCCCAATGCAAACGCTAGGATGCAAGCTGTAATCATTGCTGCAATCGTATCGAAACGCAGCTCGATTCAAATCAGCTAAATATCTTGTTTTGCGTCGCAAATTAAAATCTATTTGAGAAGCACGAAGTCGAGCCATACTATTGCGGCGCTGTTCACGTGCAATTTCTTGTTCTTCTTCAGTACTTTCATATGCAATATTTTGTATTCTTCTTGCATTACGGCTTTGTCGGGAAAGATTCGACCGTCTTGGTCGCGGCATTATTAATTAAACTTCACTTCACTTCAATCCACTTGTTAATTATTTATTTAATAGAAATAGTTTTAATATTGATTTCAGCGCAACACAATCTTTTTGGTTCGTTGTTAAATTTGAGAGCCTGACTATGAATTTGACTTCGTTTGTAACTGACATTTTGACATTTGACATTTTCTTCTTAGCTGTCTGCCTAAATAAAAAGTATGGGCCAGGGAGGAACGCTGTCGAACGGGACAAAAAGTATCCTATGTCCTTCTCCTGGCTCTAAGCTACCTCCCTACCAATTTTCACTCAAATCTGTTCTTCCGTTCTTGATTTATAAGTGTTGTAACATAAAACACGTTGTTCTTTTATATATATAGATAAAAAAGTAACTTTTAGTTAGCTACAGACTTTACTGGTTAGACACAACGACGAAAACTGATATGATCAGCTCAATTATTTCGTTGTGTACACCAAGTTGCCACAGAGCATAAAAAAAAACTAACGGTAGCTAGTCAAATTTTCTGTTTTACCTTTCAGTTCTTGGAAAAGAATTTGTTGAAAAAAATAATGCAATAAAAATAA